GGGCCTTAATGTTAGGATCCCTATGATCTTGGGTTTAAGGTTTAGGGTTTAAGCTTTGGGGCTGAAAATTAAGGGTTTAGGGTTCCTTTCCTGGTCAGGGGTAAAGGTTCAGGGTTTAGGGTTCCGAAAGCTTAGGGCTTAGGGCTTTCTTATTATTATTGCTGCACTAACTATGTTGATTACAATTCCTATTGTCAATTTGCCATTAATAATGATACTTTCATCATTACTACAGTAGTGAAGGTTTGGGTACAACAAAAAACAAGAATTCTGACCAACATTGGCCCAATCGTCCATTGGAAGAAGCACCAGCATCAAAACTCCTCGCTTAGAGTCTTGCTGCGCCTCATGTAGACCTTTGTCAGGAATGGTCTCTGTCAGGGCAAGATATGCGGGGTCGTTTGGCAGTTTCCAAAAATTAGTGCTCCTTTTTGGGAGTGCCTAGAATTAGGTGATAGTATATTGGGGTCTGTATTGGGGCCCATTTATGGAAACCCGAAACCCCATAAAGGCCTCTGTCAACATGCCTCTGCAGCTCTCCGATCTCTGCAGGGAAGTCCACGCAAGCTTCAGAGATGAAGCAGTTGTCTATAAAGCGCAGCACCTTTAAGTGCCACCGAAGCAATGTTGCCACGCGCTGGAGCAAAGGCCTGTGCAAGCTTTTCTCAACTTCCACCACGCCAAACGCACAAGACAGTTGCAGCTGCACAAGAGCCGTCCTTACAACATCCGCGGTACTAGGCGGAGGATCTAACTGCGGGCCATGCCCAGCATCCAGGCGCTCTGCTTCTTTGAACACTTGTCCAACTGACAATCTTGGATAACAATCCATGTCCAAAGACACCAACGTGCGCATCAAGGAATTGTTTACTGTTCTCCAGACGTCGCTCCTGTTCAATGCATTTTGCAAGCTCCGGTCAATAGTCTTGGGATACGTTCGGTCGATGGAGAACACTGCAACCGAGACGGTCGTGCCATGCTTGTTTCTTCTCATTAGCATGAGAGGGGCAGGCTTTTGTTGCACTCTCTGCGTGATAGAGTCCTGTGCTAGCTGCAGATAGTGCTGGCCCAGCTTTTCCTTGAAGGTCCGGAGCTCAGGATCCGTGTTTTGAAGACTTTCTAAGTTGAATTGAGGCCACGCCTCCGCAAGCGAGGTAAGGCGCCCAAATACCCTCATGAACTTGACCACCGTGGTATTGGAGACCTCCAGGCTTGCGAGAAAGGGCACCACCTGCGCATGGTAGACCTTGGCGGCTTTCAGCAAAGTCCACTGCTTTTGGAAGTTTGCTGACCTGGGATTGAAGGTTCCTGATGCCATGGCTGCAAGAAACTTGCGGCAAGCACCGAACTCATCCTCAAATTCCAGTGTCAGTTCATGGTAGGTTTCTCAACGGGAGATCCCTTTCAGAGTCCAGCTTGCCGGAGATGGCGTCATAGGCGTGCATCTTAAATTTCTGTCCATACACACCAAGCTTTTTTGCCACAGAGCCGTCCAAGTCTTTCAAGGTGGCTGCAACATCCAGATCTACACTGCAGACGGGCTCTCCATCCACGCGAGTGCAATCAACCCTGGTCCTTTTTTCGTCGCCATGAATGCTGGCAGTGATGAGCTTGCCTGCCAGCTCCATCACGGCTGTAGACATGCTGTACAGTGCAGGGGGGGCAACTCGTCCTGCACGTCCACACGCTCGTCGACTCAACCTTGAACCCTCAACCCTAAACCTGAAAACCTAAACCCGAAACCCTAAACCCAAAGCTTGGGAGCCGAGAGAAAGGTTTCCGGAACTTTTGGAGCGTGGGGATTCTTACATGCTTACCAAATCAATTGCACAATCTCAAGCACTAAGGTTCCAGAGTCTGTCAATCCCGTGCTATGCTCAAAATGCGTGTGCCGATGCCAATCCGGTGTAAGACATTGGAGAGCACGGCAGGGATCAAACAATCGTGTCGAGTAATGGAACCAGGCTGCATCACTCACACTGTAGTTCGTGGCCTAATCGATACAGTGGAGACCTGCACCCTATAAACCTCCACGAAGAGAGCGAACCTAAGCCAAACCCCAAATCGAAACCATATGGAAGATGTTAACCCGCTACCCTGCATATCAGCGTCAGCCACAAAAACAATTCAGCCACCAAAACTGAGCCACGAAAACACTAAAACAGGTGGCCTGCTTTGCAGCAGAAACGTACCCCAAAAACTTGCGCAAGCTGGTGTGCGCGTGCATTCCGCTCACGCAGCATTTAAATACTCCACAAACGTAACCTACGCTAGCTCGAAAGCTAGAACAAGCCTGCACAAGCTTGATCAACAAACTTCCGAAGCTTGAGCGAGGCTTATGCGTGCAAAGGAAACACACCGGGGACCAAACTCTTCAGAACCGTCTCTATAAACTTTCAGGCAAATGATGATTTGTGACACCTCTCACGTGTGGGCGTAAGCCCTCTGAGAGCAAGGCTATGACATCGCAGTCCAAATTCCTGGCCGTGCTCAAAGTATGAGTGTATCTTGAAAAGTCAGGTCTCGTCAGGTCTGCCACGCAGAAGGTATAGCCGCAGCCCTTGTGAAGACTCTGAGCACATGCATACTGGGGTATATTTAGAATCTTTAAGGCCTCCTTGCTTGTTGCTTATGGTGATTGTTGTTGTTGCTGCTGCTGCTGCTGCGCTGGCAGCTTAATTTGTCGAGCAAAATCTGATGTGGTAAAGGCCTAGATTAAGCCCTCCATGACAAAATCTCTCCCCCGGAATAATGCAGGCATTCCTTCTACAAATGATGGTACTCTCTTCAGAAAATTTTCATATTGAACTAATTACTCAGGCATCTCTATTCTCAGCTTCTGATTCTGGGTGTTGTTGGATGGGCGTGGGACTTTAGCTTAACGGTTTAAAGCCATTCCCCCCTCCCAAACCCTAAACCTCAAAACCTGCGTGAAGGGTCTGGGGGACTTCTGAGGAGGCATCAGGGCATGGGACCGGCGGCTTTGTTGGAGAATTCCGTGAAAACTTGCAGGTTAAGGGCAGGGGCCTTGCGGATGGATTTTCAAGAGAGGAGATCGGCCACGTATGAGCTATAGTCTTAAGTCCTGGTATCCCTATAAAACTCCCGTAGAGTTTTGTCTATGTAACCCCCTTTAAGGAGTTTAGATTATGGCTCATACAATAACCCCAGCTATCCCTACTATCCACCTACTTACAAAGTCCCCTTGACCCTCCGAGTACACCCTAAGCCCTCACCCCAAGCTTCTAATGGCTCTCATAAACCCTCTACCCACTAGGTCCCATAAATTCGAAGCTCAAAGAACAGCTGGACACTCTTCAAGATTTGTGTCCAAAAGCAAGGATCCACATTCTATTAGAACCAGAACGCAGCTGGTGCAGCCTTAGTGGGGTTTAGTACTTACTTGGGGACTTACTAAGTAGGTTACTAATTGAGAAAACTGGGGAAAACATTTGGCTTAGAGGAGTCATAATTATACTTACTAAGCCCGTCTAAAGCCTAAATCGTAAACAGTAAACTCTAGACAAGATGGTAATTTCCATTTTCTTCTACATTCCTTACTATAGGGGCTGCTAAGAGTGGCTATATGTATACTTACGAAGTCCCCCTCACACGCAACAAAAAGGCTTGAGATGAAAGCTTAGGACTTGGGGAAATTACCCCTCCCCATGCACCAGAAGTGCCTCAGCCCGAGGCGGGTTTAGGGCTTAGGCTAGGCGACCCTAGCGTGACCCCGCAAGCAATTGGATGTAGAAAGCTGAGCAGTTATCAGTATGATGCATGTATCATCCTTATAGAACTAGGGTATGATGTACCTAAGTCCACCCAGAACCATCTGTTACTTCGTTGGGGCCCTCGAGTTAACCCAAAGTTCAATCCCCTATTTAAACCCTAAACCCCAAACCCTAAACCCTCTACCCCAAACCCCTAGACGGCTACAGAATCGGCTCCTGACATGAGCCCTGAACTGTCCGCTAGAAGGAGGTTCCTTTAGTATATTCAAGGTTGAAGGTTGTAATAAATAGAGAATTCAGGCTTCAGGGCTTGAGGTTTAAATTTTGAAATCTGCAATGCTACACTGACATACAAGCAATTCGAGATAAAGATCCCAGCGATTGAAAGCATGCGGCTAAAAGCTAAACAGATCTACGTTGGCAGGGGGCTCCAAGCTAAGCCAATGACTGCAGCTCAATTTTCAAGCGCCCTACTCGAGAGCCAACGCTCCGTGCGTAATCTTCCTCAGGGCCTTCGGGGTTACAAGCTGATGCAAGAAAATGGTGCCACAAGCAAGCGTCACTTGCAAGTAATGCATTCATGCGAGTGCCGCTGAACGCGTCACTTGCAAGAAAACTTGCTACAGGCATCTGTTGTTTGTTGAGCTATTTGACGAGCCATGGGCGCGTGGAAAGTAAGCTGCATCCAGGGTCGCTACGTTAAACACATTCTACCAGAATAGGTGCACACAGCCAACCATCAATCAACCAGCTCCTCAACCACGTTTGCCGACACCAAATAGCCTGACACAAGTGACTCCTAAATTCGTGTACCATAATCCCATGAATACTCCCTGCAACCCTTGTCCAGCCGATACCCACACCCTGAACCCTAAACCGCCGAAACTTCCTTAAAAAGCCCAAATGACTCGTTCATCCACGTTACCAGAAGAGTGGCCTCTTCACTGGACCTGTACAAGTCCATGAAGCCAGTAAAACCCCCTGAACTTGTTAGGTTTTCGGGTGTGCGGTTTAAAGCTTGGGTATACATAGTTCGTTATGCTCTAAACTACCTCGTACTAAAATACAGTTCAGCCCAGAAACAATGACAACCCTACAAAACTCTCTTGTTCCAAACAGAACATCAGTATAGGGCTTTAGGAACCCTCTATAGTCCCATATGTAATCACCAGTTTAGGAGTTGCCTACAACCCATTCAAAGGGGTACCTAGCTGTACCACAGTGTTTAGCAGTGGCACCTACGACGTAAAGCCGAAGACATAAACCCTGAAACCCTAAACTCGTAAATCCTAAGCCCTAAGCCAAAGCCTTACACCCCCAATCCAAGCCCAAACCCTAAGCCCTAAATCCTAAGCCCAAAGCCTTACACCCCAAATCCAAAGCCGTAAACCCTAAGCCCTAAATCCTAAGCCCAAAGCCTTACACCCCAAATCCAAAGCCCTAAACCCTAAGCCCTAAAGCCTAAAATCTAAGGGCTAAGCCATGAGCCCCAAACCCTCCAGGCCTGTTTAGCTTTGGGTTGCCTTTGATGCCAACCAGGCCTCTATTTGGTAGGGCGGTTTTCGGGTTTAGGGCTTAGGGTTTCAACGGCTCAGGGTTTAGGGCTTAAGGTTTCATTCAGGGATTAGGATTTAGGGGGTTCAGGGGTCTAGGGCTTCCAGTGTTTCATGTTCAGCGGTTTAGGATTTCCAGGGTTTAGGACTTAGGGGTTCAGAGTTTAGGGTTTAGGCTTTCAAGGGTGCAGGGCCTACGGGTTGGGGATTAGGGGTGTCAGGCTTGGGGATTAGGGTCTGGGTTAAAGGTTTAGGTTAGGGCGTGGGGTTTAGGGTTCGGGGCTTTGGGCTTAGGGGTCAAAAGTTCTGGATTTACATGTCAAGGTCTGACACAAACCCTTTGGCTCATGGGCATCACGAACAGGACTATCGCAGGGGAGTGCAAGGCTAGAATCTTGAAATAAGAATAATGATAATAATAAAAATACTAATAATAATAGTAATAACAATAAGAGTAATAGTAATTGTAATAGTAATAGTAATAATAATAGTAATAGTAATAGTAATAGTAATAGTAATAGAACAATCAGCATAGGATTGAATACCGGTAGCCCCTAGCATCATTTTCTTGGGTTTGTCGCCTACAAACACCCGTCTCAGTGGCTTACCAGGGCATGCACTGCTTGGAAGCTTCATGCAGTTCTTGATGTCCTACACTCTCTCAAGTTGCTGAGGCTACCCCACAGGCGTCTGTGTAAACAATGACCTGACTACGCAAGCTGCGACGGGCAGCCGAGCACTAGCAACATTAAGATCCGTATCAGAGTAAAGGGCGAACAAACCCTGACTAAAACATGACTCCTACCGTTCCCGAAAGTAATATCAGAAGACTACTGTCTGTTTTCTCATTTTTGCAGACAGTACGGATCCCAGGGGCATACGGGTATTACAAAGGGATGATGGTGTTCCTGTACATGCTCTGCTTCGAATATTTCAGCAACCCCATACTAAATGTTTTGGGTTCGTGCGCCACTTCTGGTCTCAAGGTCTCAAAACATATCACGCATTTTGGAGGTCTACTAGCCCCAGCA